ATACTTTTGTATGCAAAAATCTGTGCGTGTGCCAGCCACCCCGCCCATGGCCAAGGCCTCTGGTTGAAAGTAGTTGCTTTCTTGGGACCAGCAGATGGCATAATGGTTACGTCACTGAAGTAACCTCCCATGTACTCAGCTGCGGTTCCAGTCCCAGATCCAGCAGCTTAAAACTCACGTCAGGCGCGTGTGTGTGCGTGCCCAAGATCCCGAGAGGAGAATGGAGGAGAAGGGATTGCAGCGTGGCCATCCCCCATGGGGGTGTGATTTCTCGCTTTCTGTCTCTCTGTCTCTCTCTGTCTTTCTGGCGAGCACACACCCGTGCCCTGTAGAAAAAACCTCTCCAAAAAAAAAAAAAAAAAGCTATAGGGCACATGCACTCACCGGAGAAACAGAGACTGAGAGACAGAAAGTGAGAAATCAGCCCCCAAGGGGGATGGTTACACCACAATCCCTTCCCCTCCATTCTCCTGTCAGGAGTTTGGGCAGACATGCACATGTGCCTGATGTGAGTTTTAAGCTGCTGGATCTGGGACTCGAACCGCGGTTGACTACGTGAGAGTGCAGCAGTGTAGCCATTATGCCATCTGCTGGTCCCTGACTTTGTTTGTTGAGGAGCATCATGTCACTGTCTTCCCAAGTCAGCCCTCAGCCCCATCTTCCTCCTGCGCCAGAGGAGGCCTCCCGCTGACGGTTGCCCTTGATGCCAGGATCCTGGAATGAGATGACCCTCATCTCCCTGTCTTTCCCACAGGCCGATTTAAACTGCAATATTCAAGACGATGCCGGGGCTTTTTATGGTGTAACCAGCCAGTATGAGAGTTCTGAAAATATGACAGTCACCTGTTCCACCAAAGTTTGTTCCTTCGGGAAGCAAGTAGTAGAAAAAGTAGAGGTAAGTTGGCCCCTGTGTAGGGAGCTTCACTCGAGTGCAGGCACCTGCCTGTAAGCCTTCTTCCTCGGGGCAGAGGACTGTACTATTACCATGTGTCCTTCCCCTCCCTCCTCCTCTCACGGTTTTCCCCTCTTACTCCTTAAAAGCCAAAATGATTTGCAAACATCGAGGAAAAAAAACAAGTAGGAAATCCTGTGGCAACCCTCCCCACCTGTGTGCGAGGTCAGCCTTGCCCAGCCTGTGCTGTCACCTCTGCAGGGGGCGCTGTGGGTGCCTGTGTGGAAGTTGGGTTGAGGGGTAGCACCCTACCATCCCACCCACCCCAGTCCAAAGGCACTCCAGGTGTTGTAGGTAACCCTTAAGTGGCTACCCATTGACTGGCATCTGCTTCTGACACCTGGAGTTAGTATTGGTTGCTCTCGCCATTTCCATGCCTTCATTGCAAATATTTTAAAAAGTCTTCATTACCTATTAGGATCAGATACCTACTTACGGCTTAGGCATTTCAGGCTTCTCTTCTTTATAAAAAAGAAAGAAAGACAAAAGTATAAAAATTCACAGACATACATACATACTTGTTTTGTCTTGGTATATTTTTCAAGCCACCAGGTCCAGGACTTGAACCACACAGATGGCCACATAGGATCCAGCCATCTTTTTTTTTTTTTGGAAAGAATTATTTTATTTAAGTTTATTTATTTATTTAAATTTGACCAGAGAGAAACAGATCAAGTTGGGGGTGGGGGGTGGAGAGTGAGAAAGCAAGATGCCAGATTCGAGACTCGAACTATGGTCGGCCATGTGGGAGTCCAGTGCTCTTAATCACCATGCCACCTGCTGGCCCTAGGATCCAGCCATTTTGACTACCATGTCATCTGGCTGGCCCATGATGTTTTGAAATATGCACACACTGTGGCATGGTTAAATCAAGCTAATTAACGTGCGTTTTCTCACATGCTTATTTTCTGTTGTCAAAAAACGTAGAACCTTCTCTCTCTGCCGTTTCCCGAGTATAATGTTTTGTTATTAGTTGTAGTCACCAGGCTGTGTGAGGTACAGCATGGACTTACTCCTCCCATCCAAATTGAAGCCTTCTGCCCTGTGGTCGTTCTTTATTCATGGTCAGTCTCTAACAACTTCGTAGAATTTGTCACTTCCAGTAGTTGGCCTATTGTTTCCCTCTTGGTTTTGGCTCAGCCTTAGCAATTATTATTTTTGTGGAAAGGCATGCCTAACCTCTAGATTTTCTTTGCTGTTTGTTTTTATTTTTTATTTTTCTTTCTGTCTGTTTATTTGAATTCACTACAGGGCACATGCACTTGCCAGAGAGAGAGAATGAGAAAACACCCACCAAGGGAATGGCCACACCACCGTCCCCGCTCCATCTTCCTCTCGTGGGCATGCGCAAACACACGCCTGGCGTGGTTTTCAGTCCACCAGGTCTGGGGTCAGACCACATCGTTAGCCATGGGGCAGTTAGCTGCCTTCAGCACCACACCTCATGACTGGCCCCGAAATGTGTTCTGTCTGTATTTTAAATCTCTATTTCATTGATTTAGAGGTGAAACATTTGCTATTCCTATTTTTCTTTAGTTTTTTGTAGTTTTGGTTTATTTTGTGGGTTTTTTCATTTTTCATTTTTTGCTAGAGCTCATGTGCACTCACCAGGGAGGGGGAGAAAGTACCACCCCACCGCGATGCGGGCGTGCTGCAGTCCATCGCTCTACCCGATTGAGGTTTTGGACACACACGCGTCTTGCGTGGCCTTCAAGCTGCTGAGGTTGGGATTAGAACTGCTGTGGGAATTGGCTCCCTTAAGCACCAGGCTGTGAGGCCAGCCCTCAATATATTTTTCTTGAAGACTGTTTTATTTTATTTTATTTTATTTTATTTTAACCAGAGAGAGAAAGAAAGAGAGGGAAGGTGAGAAAGCAAGCCACTAGGTCTGGGACTCAAACCATGGTTGGCCATGCGGAAGTCCAGTGTCTTAACCACCACGCCACTTGCTGACCTCCGGCCCTCAATATTTTAAGATGTGTATTTAATTGTGTAATTTTCATCTTTAGTAACGGAGATATATCAGACTGTTTTTATAAGTTTCCTTTAAGATTATTTTCATTATCTTGTAAGTTTTTTTTTTCTTTTCTTTTTTTTAAAAGATTTTTGCTCTAGGGTGCATGCACTTACTGGAGAGACAGAGAGAGAGAGACAGAGAGCTAGAAAGCAAAAAATCACCCCCCAGAGGGATGGTCATGCCGCGGTCTCTTCTCCTCCATCCTGCTCTTGGGACTTGGGACACACATGCACATGTGCCTAGCGTGACTTTCAAGCTGCTGGATCCAGGACTCAAACTGCAGTCGACTATGTGGGGGTCCAGCAGTGTAGCCATTACAGCATCTGCTGGTCCCAGTATTTTCCTTTTTATTGTCCTTGTAAGTTCCTTTTTTCTTTTTTTAAAAAGTTTGCTGTAGAGCATTTGCACTCTGGATAGAGACAGAGATAGAGAGAGGGAAAGTGAGAAGTCACTCTCCCCACCCCCCGACTCAAACCATGGTTGGCCATGCGGAAGTCCAGTGTCTTAACCACCACGCCACTTGCTGACCTCCGGCCCTCAATATTTTAAGATGTGTATTTAATTGTGTAATTTTCATCTTTAGTAACGGAGATATATCAGACTGTTTTTATAAGTTTCCTTTAAGATTATTTTCATTATCTTGTAAGTTTTTTTTTTCTTTTCTTTTTTTTAAAAGATTTTTGCTCTAGGGTGCATGCACTTACTGGAGAGACAGAGAGAGAGAGACAGAGAGCTAGAAAGCAAAAAATCACCCCCCAGAGGGATGGTCATGCCGCGGTCTCTTCTCCTCCATCCTGCTCTTGGGACTTGGGACACACATGCACATGTGCCTAGCGTGACTTTCAAGCTGCTGGATCCAGGACTCAAACTGCAGTCGACTATGTGGGGGTCCAGCAGTGTAGCCATTACAGCATCTGCTGGTCCCAGTATTTTCCTTTTTATTGTCCTTGTAAGTTCCTTTTTTCTTTTTTTAAAAAGTTTGCTGTAGAGCATTTGCACTCTGGATAGAGACAGAGATAGAGAGAGGGAAAGTGAGAAGTCACTCTCCCCACCCCCCGAGGGGAGATGGCCACACCACAATCCCTTGTCCTCTATTCTCCTCTCAGGATTTTGTCTTGTACTCACACACACCTTGCATTTTTTTTCAAACTGCCAGGTCGCGGATTCGAACCACACATTTGGCTATATGGATCCAGCCATCTTAACTTCACACCTTCTGCTGGCCCAGTAATTTCCTTTTTAATTCATATTTTATTGTCAGGGCTCATGATCAAGCGAGAAAGGAAAAAGCACTCTGCAGCAGGGCGGAGTCACACTGCCGGCCTCCTCCCTCCTCCCCATGCCGTCAGGATTTGGGGTACCCACACACGCTGGTCCAGCTTGTTTTTCAAACTGCTGGTCCCAGGATTCGAACTGCAGTTGGCCATGCAGGATCCACCTCCCTACAGACAACACAACCACTGAGCCATGGGCCTGACCCTTAATTCCTTTTCAATCCAAGATTTCCAGAAGTTTGTTTATTTCCAAGTATTTCCATAGGATCTTGAAACTGCACACATACAGGTGTTTTCTTTCTTTTATCTAAGACTTGAACAAACGTTCAGGGCCTCTGATCTGTGGTGTGTTGGTTGTTAGCCTGTTAAGACTTAGCCATAGGAAAAAGGGGTTTTCTGGCCCAACAGGTGGCATCGTGGTTGAGGCGGTAGGATTCCACATGGCCAAATGCACAGTTTGAGTCTCAGACTCGGCAGCTTGAAAAACATACCGGACAAATGTCCATGCATAACCGAAATCCTAAGAGGAGAATGGAGAAGAAATTGTGGTGTGGCCATCCCCTCTTGGGGGTGATTTGTCACTTTACTTTTCTCTCGCCTCTCTCTCCAGCAATCATGTGTGCCCTATAGCCAAAAAAATAATAATAATAATAAAGGAAAGAAAGTGGGATTTTCTTTAACGATTCATAACTTCCTGGGGCCTCTATCACAGATCTCCTCCTGGTCAAGATTCACTAAAATAGATTGCTGGATTTTTATTTTGATCTTTTTTTTTTTTTCTGGCGAGATTTTCGCTATAGGGCGCGTGCACTCACCAGACAGACAGAGAGAGACAGAGAGACAGAAAGCGAGAAATCACCCCCCAGGGGGGATGGTCACGCCGCAATCCCTTCTCCTCCATTCTCCTCTCGGGATCTTGGGCACGCATGCACACGCGCCCGGCGTGAGTTTTAAGCCACTGGGTCCAGGATGCGAACTGCGGTCAAACTACATGAGAGTCCACTGACATAGCCATTACGCTAACTGCTGGTTCCCTATTTTGATCTTTAGTGAAAGGATCTGTGTCACTTTAAAGAGTCACCTTTCCAACATTTTTTTCCTTAATTTTCAGAAAAAAATGGATTCTGTGCATGTCAGTAAGTTGAAAGATACAATTTTTTTAAAAAATCAAGTTAAAGTACATAGTACAGCAGATAGCAGACAATTCATGTTGAAAAAGTAAATATATTTCATCAGCAGTAATAATCTGCTCGTGTATTTTGGAGTCAAAAGTATAAAAATTCTCCAATTCTTTTTCCTCACAGACCGAGTACGCGAGGTTTGAGAATGGCCGATTTGTGTACCGAATAAACCGCTCCCCGATGTGTGAATACATGATCAACTTCATCCACAAGCTCAAACACTTACCAGAGAAATATATGATGAACAGTGTTTTGGAAAACTTCACCATTTTATTGGTAATGGTTTCGTCTCTCTGCTGTTTTGGGAGATCCTGCCAGGAGACTTGTGGGGACAGTGAGGAAGAGGGTCATATGGGGCTGGACCAGTGGAACTGGCCAGGCTTTTCCATGGGGCCCCAGCAGGTCCGTGGACAGTTGAAGTCACAGCTTTCTGAGGGCAAACTTGGGCTTGCGTCTGAAGAGAAGGGAGTTTCTTCTGGCTGGGGTAGGTCTATTGATGGAATTCAGGTGGGTAATAAGTGATAGCCCCAGGGTCTCAACTCTGGCTGCACAATAAAAATACTTGGAGAAGTTTTTAAAATCCTGATACCAGGGACCAGCAGATGGCATAATAGTTCTGTTACTGGACTTCCACGTAGTTGACTGCAGTTCGAGTCCAGGACCCAGTAGCTTAAAACTCACTGCATGTGTGTGCATGCTTGCCCAAAGTCCTAAGAGGAGAATGGAGGCATTGTGACATGGCCATGTTCCCCGGGGGGGTGGGGTGATTTTTTGCTTTCTGTCTCTCTCTCTCTCTCTTCAGTGAGCACATGCACCCTATAGCAAAAATCTCTCTTAAAAAAAAAAAAATCTGGTACCCAACTTGCATCCTAGATCAATTAAATTATGATCTCTGATGGTAGGACCCAGGCATGTGCATGCATTTTATTTTTTTTTTACTATTAGTTGCCAGAGGGCACCTGTACTCACCAAAGAAAAAGGGAAAGGGAGAAGGCACTGCCCAGGGGGGCGTGTCACACTGCAGTCCGTCCCTTCTTCACTCACATATACACAGTGTGTTTTTGAAGCTGAGAGGGCCAGGATTTGAACCGTAGTCATCCACATGGGATCTCCGACTCCCTTAACTACCAGGTCTCGGGCAGCCATTGCATTATTTGCAAGTTCTCAGGTTGCTCCAGTGGTAGGCAGATAAGAGTCTTAGCAGCAGTTCGATGTGCGACCTTCAGGGAGGCCAAGTCCGAGTCTGCAGGTTTGCACTTCAAACACGCGCCACTCACTTCATGGAGGACTGGCAAGGCCTCGTAAGAAGTGGTGTGCGTTGAGATAGGAAGATTCAAACTCTCAGCACCAGGAGCAACAGCTTGAAATAGAAAGCAGGGACCAGGAAGGGGAGGGAAATGTTCTTCATTGGATGAAAAATGTCGAATTGTAAAAGGCAGCTAAAGGTAAAGGGGGAAAACAGTAATATGCAAGATCTGTGATGGGAGAACCTAAGAGTTCCCTCCAGACAGTGTATGTTTCCCCCAATATTTAGCTTGAAGATAAATTTCTCCTAAGAGCTTCATGTGGAGATTTAGGAAGGATATTAGAAGCAGTGTTATCCTCCAAATACACTTAGAAAATATGCAGTAATGGGTTTCATGAGATTCACTTTTAAAAAAATAACATTCTTTGATTAAGCTGAAGGAAAGAATGCCAAAACAAAACTCATTGGGACAGTTTGGCTAAAGGGGCAGCGAGATTATATTGTGGTCAAGCACTCAGCCCCAGAAGGCCTCCTTTATTCGTCTCGATACTCAGATGAGGAACTTTAAGACCTGGAGTTCTGAGAGAAGGTGGATCTTTACCTCGTGTGTTGTGTCATCGGCATAGCAGTGCTCAGTGTTGTGCACTGCTGTTTAAGGGCTCCTCCTCAGCTCTCCCAAAACCCTTATTTGTACCTTTTGCCTTTTTTCATGATGTAAATATGCCCTCCATGGGCAATTTCAAGCTACCAGTAGTTGTCCAGCTCACACAATTTCTTGATATTTGACAGTACCTTCCATGAGCCAGTAGGTGCCAGCTCCTGTATGCCACTGTAAAAAAAAAAAATAAAGAAAAAGGGAACCAGCATTTAGCGTAATGGCTATGTCGCTGGATTTCCACGTAGTTGACCGTGGTTTGCGTCCCGGACCCGGTGGCTTAAATCTCACACCGGGTGCATGTGGGTGCATGCCCAAGATCCCGAGTGGAGAATGGAGAAGTGGTTACAGTATGACCATCCCCCCGGGGGGTGATTTCTCGCTTTCTGTCTCTATGTCTCTCTCTGCCTGTCTGGCGAGCACACGCACCCTATAGCGAAAAACCTCTCCAAAAAAAAAAAAGAAAAAAAAATCCTAAACCTCTGCATAGTACATTCACCCATACCCACAATGGGCATGGCCACAGTCAGGATTTTGGTCATATGCACACACAGGATTCAAACCACGGTCAGCCACATGAGGTCCGGCTTCCAGTGCTCTGCATTTAACTGCTGCACGAGGGGCCAGCTGTGTTTATGTCTAAAGCTCCCCGGGTAGTGACTGTGTGTGGCCAGGTTTGAGACCCCCCCACACACACACACACACACACTGCCTGCCAGAGGTGCTGGTAAGTGAGCTGCAGGGAACCCCAGAGGTCACAGACACATGGTTGGCACGTAACTGGCAACCTGGTCATTTTGCTTATTAACTTTCATTTATTCCAGGAAGAGAATCTCGGAGGATTCTTAGATGTACTCGTGTCCCTTTAAAATGTAGAATCCAGAGATCTGGGGCAAAGTTTGGATCCAAGTTCTGTAATATCTGTCCAGTAGTATCCCTCTCTTTAAGGGTCTTTCTGTGACAGTGTTGCAGGTCAGAGTTGCCAGGCCAGCAGGTAGCCAGTACTGGTCACCTTATCTCTGTCGCTCTTTAGGAACAGATGCCGCACCGTAGAGTTCAGCTGAGCAGAAGGGGAGGGCGACATCCCGTTGGAGACCTTAGCCTCCAGGAATTAACCAAGGCTCTGAGTGGATGGCCACCCTGCCTCTCTTGGAGGGAGTCTAATCTGTCTCTTAAAAATCAGTTCTAGTCTGTTCGTACACATTAAGGAAGATGTCGTCAGGCCCCTAACTAAGGCCTGGAAAAATGCTAACGCACCTGTTACCCAGAGAGCCCATGAAACTGCAGTGTGTCACTTAATAATGAGGTCACATTGAGACCAGCAGTTGGCGTAAATGGCTACATCGCTGGACTCCCCTGTAGTCAATCATGGTTTGAGTCCTGGACCCGGGGACTGAAGCTCACACCGGGTGCGTGTGCATGTGTGCCCAAGATCCTGAGAGGAGAATGGAGGAGAAGGGATTATGGCATGGCCATCCCCCTGGGGGTGATTTCTTGTGTTCTGTCTCTCTGTCTGTCTCTCTCTGTCTGGTGAGCGCACACGCACTATATAGCAAAAAATATAAAAAAAAAAAAAAAAGGACACATTCTGAGGAATGCATCACTGGGTGATTTCCTTGTTGTGTGAACGTCTCGGAGTGTCCTTCCACACACCCAGATGGCATAGCTACTCCACACCCAGGTTCTGTGGTGTAGGCTATCGGGAGCTTACAAACTTCGAGATCACTGTCGTTCTGCAGCAGAGGACTCTAGCGCGTTTCAGTATACTCCCTTGGGACGTGTGACTTCAGCTGGTGCAGCCACTCAGAAAATGATCAAGTTAGATGAATTCCGAAGTGTCATTAAGCAACTAAATACTTTCCTTCAATGTGAGGAGTTATTAGTTATCAGTAAGTATCTACTGGAGGTAGTATTTTAGGTTTAGAAATACTGAAGCGATGATGTATCCAAATTGTGATGTTATCCACTTACTGAGCAGGAGCAATGTCCTTGAGGTTCCCCTTCAGGGAGAGGGAGCATGGCCAGAGTGGCCTGCTAGATAAGGCTGGCGGTATCTCTTTTCTTTTCCTTCTCTCGAATTTATCAGGGACACATGTGCTTACGGAGAAGCAGCAGAGCATAGTCACATGACCTGGTGTGTTTCTCAAGCCTCCAGGTCCAGGACTCAAGTCCCTGAGTTCAGGACTTGAACCCCACCACCAGTTGGCCATGTGGGACTCTGCTCACCTAACCACCAGGTCATGTGAGCTTTAGAGGTCATAACCATACAATATCCTGCAAAGTGTCTTTTCTGTGTATTCTAGGCTTAATTTATGTCTATCACTGGCTCAGGGGAATGATACTTCACTAGGTATATTAGGTACCAAACCTGTGTCATCAAGACTGAGTCCAGACAGGACTGGTGTCTGGGCTTGATTATCTGAATTCAGCAGGGTGATTGTAGAATGAACTGAACCTGCAGATGCAGAGCCTTACTGACAGCAGCTGAGCTGCCAGCTAGGTATCTGTAAGGAATGGGCCACTCATATAAAAAAATAGAAGTGTAGAGCCTTTATTGGGGGCTCTCCCCGGTGAGGTTCACTGGTCCAACAGAGAAAGAGAAGGGGGGGGAGACGGGCCAGAGAAGTTGCACCCTAGGGTGGGGTTTAGCGATTTTTATAAGGGTATAGGGAGGGGGAGTGTCTTAGAGGTAGGAACAGTCCATGTATGGTAAAGGTTTGGGAGAGCAGACTAGTGTGCCGTGTAAGGTCTGATACTGTGTGCAGAGTAGAGCACATGTGCTACGTCTGGGTTAGATCTGAGTGCAGCGCAGGTCTGATGGCAGGCTAGATCTGGGTTGCATATGCCAACTATGGCGTGGCATCCAACCCCACACCCAAGCTGCCCGGGCCTCTGGCCTAACAGCATCTCTTGTCATCTTTTTGAGGGCATGTTTAGACATCCAGGCTGACAGAGACATTTTTCTCCTTTTTCCTTTCCCATCTCAACCATGGACCCTAAACCAGATCAATTCTTTTTATATAAAAGAAGGTACTGCAAAACTGTGAGGTCATTTTTTTGCCTCATTTTATTAAGAATGTTAGGATAAAGAATGTTAGGTCTACCTGAGGTCCTAAAGCCAGTGATAGGCATAAATTAAGCCTAGAATAGAAAAGACACTCTGCAGGATATTGTATGGTCATGAAATCTAAAGACTTGGATTAAAGTCCCAACTTTACTTTTTTTGGGGGGGCAGAGATTTTTGCTATAGGGAGTGTGTGATTGTCAGAGAACTAGAGATGGAGAGAGAAAATGAAATAAGCCCCAGGGAAATGGCCATGCCACAATTACTTCTCCTCTATTCCCCTCTTGGAATTTTAGACATGCACACACGTG